CTCTTACAGAGGAATGTTTTAGTCCAGGTGTGGCATTGCAGGATACTATCACTGGACCACAAGGTCAGTCTGCACTGAAGATGGGCAGTTCACATCCACCAGCCACTCCTTGGAAGCCCTATACAGGGTCACAATGGGTCAAAACAGACTTGACAGCACTTAACAACAACAACATCCCAACAGCACACACTAGGTACTGAATAAATAGGTTGTTGTTGTTAAGGGCTGTCAAGTCAGTTCTGACTCACAGTGACCCTGCATAGGATTTCCCAGGAGCAGCTGTAGAGTTTGAACTGCCCATATTGCAGTTCAAATCAACTTTGAGGTCAAGTGCTTAATCTATGGTGCCACACCAGGACTGTGAATAAGTAGGTAAACCGCAAAAAATGTGCTACATAAGAGGTTTAGAAGGTAATTCAGAAAAGGCATTCCAAAAATATTTTGAACACTAACAGAATTAATGAAATACTTATACAGATACTAAAAATAACTACCAAATTTATATATTTTTTAATTCTCATCTAGATGTATAGTTATGTTTATAAAAAGCCAATTTTCCTACAATCTTACATTGTTACTGAATTCGTTCACAATTTTCCTTCTCCATAAAAAGAATGTTAATAGTATAAATTCCTTGTGGGTAGAAACTTTATCTAAACTGTTTTGTATCCTTATGAATCAACAATGACTTGATGGAACTTAACAACAACAACACAAATGAATTAAATCAGACAGATTCTTAAAACAGCTAAAAATTTCTGAGTCATTTATTCCTGGAGTTAGAAAATCCAAAACTGCTCCAGACCAGGTTTACTCTAGATTAAACTGTTACTGTGTGCTGTTACATCAGTTCCGACTCATAGCAACCCTGCACAGACTTTCCATGAATGGCTGGTGGATTCGAACTGCTGACCTTGTGGTTAACAGTCCAGTGTTTATCCTACATTGCCACACCAGGGCTCCCAGATTCAATAAGCTTTAGATTAAAACTTTTGGGCAGGTATACACCTTTCCATGGATATGCAGGATTGTTAGTATTCCATTCTAATCCATAAACTAAAGATCCTCTCAAGGTAGATGTATCTCTTGTCCCTTCATTCTCTTAGACACACACACACATCTGTCTATAATAACCACATAGTACTCAGTACTTTCATACATTCTCACTATTATTACTAACAGTACTTACGACTCTTTAGCAGTAACTCAACAGGTATTTTATTAAGCACTTAAGAGTCAAGCTGCTGTGTGTCTCTCTAGAGATTAAACAGTCTCAGCACTAGAGAAGGTTACAATCTGGTAACCGTTGGCAAAACAGTAAGAGAAAAACTCACAAGCACAAATAGAAGAATTAGCAATACAGACTCTACATGTGAATGCTGTCCTTATTCAAAGTGAACAAGATCTCAAGAAGCAAGTTTACACAGGTAAGGGTTCTAAAAAAGACTGAAGCAAGGTCTTTCTAGTCTCGTATCAGTCACTTGCTTGATGCAGCACCTCATCTACAAATTTCAAAACACCAATATTTTATGACTCTTATCATGGTACTGAGAGTCCTGGTGTGGCACTGTGGGCTAATGCACCAGACTGCAAATCTGTTTGAACTGCAAGGTCAGTGGTTCAAGCTCACCAGCTATTCCTCAGAAACCCTATACAGGGTTGCTATGGGTCGGAATAGTCTATAGTACTTAACAACAACAAATCATGGTACTGTGAGTTAGTCACTGGGCTGCTAACCTCAAGGTCGGTAGTTCAACCCCACCAGCCATTCCACAAAGAGGACGCTGCCTGCTCCCATAAACATCTACAGCCTCAGAAATCCCATGGGTTGCCATGAGTCAGAATCGACTCAATGGCAGTGGCTTGAGTTTGGGTTCTTACTTTAGTTTATAGTAAAATATGAGCGACACATTTTTTCCATCATATCCCCAACATATTAGTGATTTTAAAATGTGCTAATTTCCTTACATATTTCCTGCCACAAACCTTCATATCCCCAACATATTAGTGATTTTAAAATGTGCTAATTTCCTTACATATTTCCTGCCACAAACCTTCCTTATTGCTGTAATCAAATCTTATTTACATCAACTATATCCAAATGCCCTCAGAATTTACCATTTCTCCAGCCTGCCACAAAATTACCACCACCTTCACCATTCCCTGTCCCTTATCTTCCTGCCCCTCTTAAAAGATTTACCCATTCCTCCTAAAAAAAAAAAGAATTATACTCATGCCCACACCAATCTATTCCTTCCTGAAAGCCCAAACTGTCAATGGGCCTGAAAACAACATTCATCACTGTAACCAACTCCCAAATTTCCCACTAAAACTCTCCCTAAGACTGTCAAAGAGGATTGCAGTCAACCTGTGTCATTTTCAAGCAATTCCCCTTCATCTTTAACCCGCAACCCTCATATGCTAGAAAGACATTGTTCTCTACAGCATGATCACTCTTACAGGTCCGTCCAACAAACGTCCCTTCTCATCTAACCACTAAATGCTCTCTCAACTTCAGGAAAGCTGTTCCTGTTCTAAGTCATCAAATATAGTGGTAAAAAGTCAAGTGATACCGCCTAAGGTTTCTGGACTCTGAACAAGGCAGAAGCATTATATTTGAAGAAATAAAGATATCCAATACAAGTACTGAAATAATAACTATCAAAGAATGGAAAGGAAAAGGGGAGAATGCCAGTGCCTTAAATCCTTTTTATTCATAGTAAGGAGTCAACAGAGGTCATTTCGATAACTCACAGAATAACAGTACGTGCTTTATTACTTGAAGACCTAGAACATAAGACATACAAAAATCAATGCTGAGAAGTAGTAACCTCTGGAAAGTGGGGCTGTAGTGAACAGGTAGGTCAAGGAATGGTACGATTCATTATAAGCCCCCATAGGACAATTTTATTTATCTACATACATGCATTCTTTCATAACTTAAAAGGAGGAAAAAACAATACTAGCATACTATTTTTAAGCCCACTAAACTTACAAAATTAAAAGGAATGATAATATAAAGTGCTAGTGAGAGGAAGGGGGGAAAATAGGCCTTCTCATATGAGGATGACACTAAAAACAGGCACATCATACTCTGTAATATAATAAAGTCCTTGAAAAATATGAATAGATATAAATGTAGTGATTCAGAAAGCTTTCCAAGTATCTGATAACAACCCTGTATTATTTCTATAAGAATCTTTTAATTTAAAAGGCCCTTCTTCACTCTATTTTTAAAGTATTACCCTCCTCTAGATATTTACTAATAGTTGCTAAATACATGAATAACTGAGTTTTGCCTTTCCCAAATCTCTTTCCATCTTTCCCATTAATCTCTCTGCCCTCTACTTTCATAAAAAGATTTTTTATACTCCACATGCTCATTACTCTTCTCAGTTGAAGAGACACTACAATGTAGTGTGTATACAGTCTTTCTTAATAGGTGAATAATTTTTACATAATTTAAGAATAATTGCTTTAGTTCTGAGTTCTCCCTTGGAAGTCTGATTCAGTATGAGCCTCAGGAAATCCAATAGAGCTTGGCTCATGTCCTGATGTGGAGATGCTAATCCTTCCTTCAAACTGGCTCTAGAATCATCCAGTCTCTTCAGGTTCTCCTAAACCTGAAGACCAAAGTTAGTCCTGACCTCCTTGCAACCTTAGACCAAAACAGATATTCTAGCTAGTCCATTCTGCAGGCCCACACTTGCTTGCTGATGCATTCTCTTCAATATCACCATGCCTCAGTGAGAGAGTGAATCAGGTACTGGAAGCAACAAAAGATCTTCCAACAGCCCTGGAGTTACGGAATCAATCTGGTCCAATCAGACTAACTTGAGCTACAAACAGAGCCTCCAAGAAGGGCCACCATTCACAGACCTAGGCGGACTAACAGGATACCAGTTCTCCTGGACACGATTAGCTAGGCAGTGAAGAAAATCACCAATCCAAGTAGTATCCATTCTAGCATCTGTCAGGATAGTGTTAACTCCTTGTCCCAGAGAATCCCTGGAGCACCAGGCCTTCCAGGGTCTATTCCAGAGGTTCTCATATGCACTAGTGTACGTCTAAAATGTCTCAGATCCAACTAAGAACTACAGTCTAATTCTCAGTGACTCCGACCCGAGCCCGGACCCACACTTACCAGATATCATCTACAGAAGAGCCCACACAGGTTCGGAACTATGCCATTCTGGCCCATCTGGAATAACTGTTTAGTCTTTGGGCCAACGTTTATTAACGATATCACATCTGTCTAGTCTATCATGCTTTCTCATCATCTTCTCAAATATTTAACACTCCCTTTTGCTTGAAATGCTATCCTTTCTATTCACGGAAACTCCTTATATCCCGTCTTCCTTTCCTTAGAAACGTTTCAGTCCTTTCCATAACGAAAGACCTAATGTATCTGCACAATAAACATCCCCCAGAATCCTCAAGACTCCTCCACCCCCTGCATTCCTCCACCTATCCGGCATCTTTCCCTCTGGCCTCTCTCCCTGTTAACACTCTTGCAAGAATTCCCTTTTCTTCAACTCCTGCCTTTCCCTTCTCCAAAGAGCACACTCAGGCAGCACCACTGACTGAGGCCTGCGGTGCATAAAGCACTGCACCAGGCACGGTGGACAGAGACCTGGTGTCTCCCTAGCCTTTTCCCACACACACCCAGCACCCTCCAGGTTCTCTGTGCAAACAGTCTATACTCTCCCCTACCTCTGACACCTCCCTCAGACCTCGAAGGCCGCCTTCTCTCCTCCGCCACCCCAGTCATTATCCCTCCTCAACCCCCCAACCCACTATCCGCGCCCTGCTTCCTCCGGTCCCACAGTCAGCCCCTGAGTTCCTTTCGGCCTCGGCCGGTCCCCAAGCTACCCCCGGCCTCGCCACGGCTCGCTCCCCCCGGGGTCAGGCCGTTAACGCCGCGCGCTCCCCCCGCGCGCCGCCCCCTCCCCCTCCCTCGCCCTCCCCCGGGCCCGGGCCTGCCAGGCCGAGCGCTTTACCGCGGGCGGGCGCCGAGTCGCGCGGTCACCGACTGCAGGCGGCGACAGCTCCAACCTTCCTAGGGGCTTTGAGAGGAGGGGAAGGGGGGAGGGGGAAGAACCTTTGCGGTGGCAGCTTCAGCAACAGCTCCCACCCCTGCGCCTTTCTCCTCTTCCTCCCCCTCCTCCTCCTCTTCCTCCTTCTCTTCCTCCTCCCAGAGCAGTAGAGACGCAGACATGCCAGGGCTAGAGCGCCGCCGCGGCCACCGCCACTGCCGGCGCAGGGCATTGTGGGAAATCCCGCACACGGGAAACGCTCTGCGGCGCCGTCTCTCGCCTAGCTCGGGGATTTGGCTGGTTTCGGCTCTCGCGCCTGCGTGTCACTTCCCAAGCGTGGCCAGGAAAACTGGCCCCGAGCCGCTGGTCCACCAGGCCGGGCCTTGGAGGAAAACGATTTTAAAAAGATTGGAACTGAGATCTTTTTGAGGTGTCCACCTAAATACCTATCGCCCTAAGAAGTGGAGGACTTGAGGGTCAAGAGCGTTTCCGGCCCAGGAAAACGGAAGGGACCGGGTCCTAGGTGAAAAGGTTATTTACCAGAAATTCTTGGCTTTTTCGTTTCTCCTTCTTACCCAGCCTTCTCCCCCTCCAATCATTAGCCTTTACCTACCCAAATGTCATCTCTTCCGGAAGCGGCAGCCCTTCGCCCTTGAAAATAGCACGCCCCATTAATGCCTGCAAATAGAAGTTCATGTTGTGAACCTTGGGAGAAGTGGACCCTCTGTTACATGTTATTTGCCACTCATCTCACTTCGGACCCAAACCAAGTTCTGAATGGCACAGATTTAGTAATGATCTATATAGAATTAGAGAGCTGGCACTGCACATTTATGCCACATCCTTTGGGAACCTTTTAAGTGACCTTAGTTAAGGAGTCATCTTAATAAACCAAACACGTTGTTGGTGAGTCCGACTTGCTGCGACCCTATAGGACAAAGTAGAACTGCCCCACAAGGCTTCCTAACCTGTAATCTCTATGGAAGCCCACTGTCTCATCTTTCTCCCGCATAGTGACTTGTTTGTTGGTTCACTGCACCAGAGTTCTTAAGACCTTAATAGTGAGCGGTGCTTTCATTCAACTAACATTTATTAGATGCCCTGAGGGGCTTGTGCCTACTGCTATCTCCATGGCCGCTCCCTAGGGCAAGGTCAGCCACATAACATAGAAGATGCCCAGTAAATTTTGAGTGATTAGTAGCATAAAGACCTTGCCATGGGAATGGTATGAAGCACCTTCATTAGGCTTTTTTAAATAATAATCTGAAATTTCTATTTAGTGCCTCTCTAATGTTTTAACGTAACCTTTGAGGGGAAGGGCATTAAAATATGTATATAACCATTTCTGAAGTTCTCTTGTCCACACCCACCTTGCCAACTGAATATTCATTTGAATAGTGCTTTCTGGCAAAACTCCAAATTCCAGCATTATGCACTTGTGATGGCACTGAATTAGATTAGTGTCTGCAAGGTTAATGTTCCCCTAGGCATTAACCTTAGTAAATCGTGATGCCTATTTAGAAATAGCTGAGGCCCAGAAGTTCAGCTTAATTTAGACACAGGTAACTAAAAAGCAAGGGTAAGCCACAGCTCCACAATCAGTTCTTCATATGCTTTCTCCATTAAAAAATATATAAATTTTAATAGGATGACAGTGCATATCCTGAATGCTAATTGCAACAAAACAGTGCTATAAGCTAGAGCAAGGAACAATTATCTGGAGGACAGCCTTCTGGCAACTTCTAGCATCTGCAATGACATCAAATTCAGATGTTAAAAAAAAAAATCCTGACAGCAGAGAAGCAAACTCTTGAGTATTAGCCAATGGGAAAAAGAATAACCGAAAGGGCTGACAGCCTGGAGATTATACTTAATTGGCTAAGATTGATTGGTTTGCCATTAGGAATAGATGCAGTTCTCAGCACCATAACTAAGAAACAATCATTTTAAATGAGCAGAATAGAGAGTGAGGCAGCTAAAGAGGTGATAATAGCAGAGGTGATAATAGAAAGTTAAATATCTGGAGAAAATTTTTATTTCTTAGCCCGAGTCTGGCTTTCCATATTCCTCTAATCCACTCTACCAATACCAGCCCTACACATTCACCCTGCTTTCCTTTTGGGGGTTTCATGCTTTGTTTAAAATTTCATTTGGAAAAGACTCCAGAAAGTTGTAAAAAATAATGCAGAGAGTCCCATGTACCCTTCCTTCATCGAGCTTCCCTCAGTGGTCTCATAAACCTGTAGTAAAACATCAAAACCAGAAAGTTGACATTGGTACATGCATTACTATAAGCGACTATAAAACTTACTCCATTTAAACCGTTTTTAACTCTGCATTCATCTATGTGATTATGTACAGTTCAATGCAATTTTGTACCACGTAAAGATTCATAACCACCACTACAGTCAAAGTATGTTGTTGTTGTTATGTGCTGTGGAGTCATTTCCGACTCATAGCCACCCTGTACAGGGTTTCTGAGGCTATAAATCTTTACAGGAGCAGAAAGCCTCATCTTTCTCCCATGGAACAGCTGGTAGTTTCTAACTGCTGACCTCAGGTTCGTAGCCCGATTCGTAATCACTACGCTACCAGAACTCCAAGTATAGAACTGTATTATACACACACCAAAAAACTCCCTTGTGCTAGTTTTTTACTTAGTGAAAAACATCAATCTCAAAAGATTATATGCTGTATAATTTTTATTTATGTAGCATTCTTTTTTTTTCCAGTTTTACATTCAATAAATTATATGCTTTTTTTCATCTCAATGATAACACTCGCCTCCCTGCAACAGCAGTTATCGTATTTCCTCCCTGTGGCTCCCCATTTACATCTTATATTTCACAAATGAGCATATATTATTTTTCACAAATGAACAAAGCAAAAATATTGGTAGCGTAGTAGTTACAAATCAGGCTGCTAACCTCAAGGTCAGCAGTTTGAAATGACCAGCCACTCCGTTAGAGAAAGATGAGGCTTTCTGTTCCCATAAAGATTTACAAGCCTTGGAAACCCTATACTGGGTCCCTGTGAATCAGAACAACTCCATGGCACATAACAACAGTGATGGTGGGAGGAGCCCTGGAGGCACAGTGTTTACACACTTGGCTGCTAACCTAGTGTTTCGGGGCTTGAACCCACCAACCACAATGCCATTAGGCTTCTACAAAGATTTACAGCCTTAGAAACCTTATAGGGCAGTTCCACTCTGCACTATAGGATTACTGTGAGTCAGAATTGAATTAATGGTAGCGAATTTGTAGTGATGGTGATGCAAACAGTTAATGTGCTCACCTGCTAAATGAAAGATTGGAAATTCAAGTTCATCCAGAGACACCTCAGAAGAAAGGCCTGGTGATCTACTGAAAACTCAGTCATTGCAAACTCTTTGGAACATAGTACTGCTTTGACACACTGAGTAAGAATTGACTAAACAGCAACTAGTAGTGATAGCTCATTGTGGTTCCTTTTATATAGAGGTTTTCTCTCCCCCTAAAATTGACTCCTGAGTAGTATGCGTGTTATCTTTCTCCAACTCCTACTTTCCTTGATGTACTTGCTAACAAACACACAAGCCCCTGTTATTAAAGGGTTTTATTCTAGATTACAATAAAATTTTCTTAAAATATTCATGCTAACGCGTTATTGTTCTGTTGTACACAGCATCACCGTGAGTTTGAATCCACTTAATGGCACCTAACAACAACATTATTAAGTTTATATAGCTTGCACTTTGTTTTTTGTTTTTTTTAACTACAGGAATCATCTGTCAGTGGGCCCAGAAATAAGCTAAGTCACCCAGGACACAGTCTTCAGGTAGCAAATGTAAATGTCACAAAAGACAAGCAGGTTATGTGAACAGCTAAAACAATTGACAATGGAAGGGACTCTGAAGAGCCAGGGAGCTGAAGCCTTTGGAAAGGGCATAACCACTTGCAGAATGGGCCCTTTGGGTGCTTAAATTATTATATATTATATCGGGCTGCGAACCTTAAGGTCAGCGGTTCGAAACTACCAGC